GCAGTACAGGGTAGTATAGTTCATGGTACTCCAACACAGCCTCCAGCAACGCCATTAGATTTAAGTCCATTAAGACATCATAGATCACCAGCTACCACACCAGTTAGTTATTCACCTAGTAACAGTCCAGCATTAGATATGATTCAAGAAGAACATCCTGTGGAAATACCAAGAGTAAATAACTTAAGCATCAATTTTATTATTATATTGATTTATTATTTAATGATTTTCTATATTAAAAATATTATTGTTAAAATGATTAATAGTATATTATTAATCATATAATAATTATAATATTATATTATAATATACATATATTAAATGTTATAATATAAATGTTATAGTATATTTATTTCTTTTAGGTACCGCCTCAAATATCTGTAACCGATCTTGGAGGACAAGTAACACTTATTAGTTGTTCACCTTCACCATCTCCATCGCCTGATTCACTCGAAGACACGTTACCTCATTACAATCCTCTTCCCAGCTTCATCATTTCTGAACCGTGTGATCCATCAAGACCTAGTATCACACGTGGCATTGGTAGGCCATTGAATACATCAATACCTACAGAAGTTGAAGTTACATTATCGGATGAATCGAGTAGATTAAATTCCGAAGCTATATTAGGTCGTGTAAAACAAATTATAGACGCAAGAGCCCCTCCAAAAGGATTTATCTTCTCTAGAGAAGAAATAAAAGGTGGTGGGCTTAGTTTAGAATATCCTGGTGGTGTTCAAATTGAACTTAGAGTATGTGAATCCGAAGAAAAGGAAGTAAAAGGCATTAAAATGCGAAGAATTAGTGGGGACCAATTACAGTACAGTCAACTTTGTCAGCAGCTGATCTCGTGTATTACTGTTTGACGACAACCAGCACATAATATAATGTTTTTCGTTACATTACATTCCTGGTGCCACATACACCACTCATTACAGTATTGCACATGCATGCTGCATAATACGAGCGGTACTTTAAGCATACCATTCTTTACATTGATACATTCATGTAACATTCAGTGTGCTACATTTCTCGATATTTTTTTCTTGTTTTTTTCGTTCTGACTTATAAAATTAAAAAAAAAAAACTTGTGCATAATATAAAGCTAGAACAAAAACATAATTTTTTAAAGTCTTATTAAGACTTTAAAAGATGTACAAATATACATGCTTTTGTGCAAATAAGACGATGTTCTGCTATTTTTAAATAATCTAAGTATTAACAAATCTGGACGTTTTTCATAAAACTTTAATCATTAATGTACATCACACACCATTCCTTTTTGTAGAATATTTGTCTTCATATTAGAAGATTGTAGGTAGTAAATTCATATTTTACTGTTCAAATTATCATCAGGTGCCCTTTTTAGCTTAGATAAAAAAAAAAGCGTCTTTTGTACCGAATTAGATGGCAAAATGTAAGCATTTTCACGATATATATGTCTTTCTAATGTAATGGAAATGTTTTATATGAAATTTACTATATTTAATCGATTACCATTGCAATTTTAATTTCATAATGTGTATTTCATATTTGTAGATATTCACTTTATAATGCTGTAATTTTCTTTTTTCTTTAATATTATTAGGACTAGAAGAATTCCCTTCTTGTTTTTGGTACAAATACCATTCTGTTAGATAATTTAATTTTAATAAGTAAAAACGTATATATTCTTTTGTATAGTGCAAATACAATTATTGTGGTTTGTAGTTTAAAAGCTACACAGACTGAGTTACGATTGTATATTTTTTTTTTTTAAAATCATATATAATACTTAAAAATTTTAAATCTATGATATTTCAATGATAATATAATTAAAAATTATTAATTTTTAAAAAATAGTAAAGCATCGTTATAAAGTATACTTTCTAATAGTTATATTTATGAATTATTTAATTATTGCCATTTAAAAAGGAAAGTATACAACTTAACTCTCCTTGTGTAACCAAAGAGTTGAATTACTTTTATATTTTCGAAAAGATCTTTTTCTTATTTTAAAAACAAAAGAAAAATATAAACATTCATAATAATTTCTAGTTAATGCAATTGTAACTATATGGGCACATTATTTTATTATGTTGCAATGATTAGATAAAAGACATTATATTAGTGTCATATATGAAAAATAAGATTTAAGTCGCTTAACAAAATATTTTTCTAAATTATAATTTAGACAAAAGATAATATATGCAAAAATATATTTCCTGTGTACGAGCTACAATGAATATTTTTACAAAATACAACTTGTGTAAACATATTTTTTTTCATTATTAAATATATGCTTATCTTCTTTTTATCATACTTCGGTTTAATATTGTTTATATATTTATATTTTCTATTAGTTCTAATAGTATTGCTTAATTATATAATCGTTCAAATTTTTTACAATTATTTTATAATATATCATTCAAATAATTAAATACAAGTTGTATTTTGTAAGTAAAATCACAAAACATGCTTCATATACTAATACATTTTTGTTTGAATATTTCATTTTAAATCATGGATCAACTTACATCTATTAGAAGTGATAATACTTCTGTGTTTCTGTAAATAACAAAAATTAATGTAAATATATGATGCGTACTATTTAGAGATTTCTAAAGTGTACATCATACAGGCTATTCTATTTGAGATAACTTTTAATACTTTAGTGTTCTTAAAATATTCATTAATATGTAATTATTATTACAATATGTTTCATTATAAAATTTTCTATAAAAAATACATAATCTTACATATTTATATAATATTATAATAGTTTGAAAATAGAAAAAGAATGTTTTCATAGTAATCAAATTTACATACACATTATATGCATACATGTTTCTAAATTATATGGATAAATTATTTCATTAGTTAATCAAATAAGAATAGCCCTCAATATTATGCAATGCCCAATTTCCATCAAGTAATTAATAATGTATTATATTATATCATTTAAACATTTTTTTTTTATATATTCTAATCAAAGTAAAAACCTTGTATATGTATACTATCTATATTAGATTTATAATGAATATGTACCATTAAATATTTTAATATATCTTAATAATTTGAATTCTTTGAAAATCCAATATGCAGTATCAATTTTATATTAATATAAATGGTATATTTCATTATAAATCATTGCTGACAAAGCAATTCTGAACAATTCTTATTATATATATTATTATATATATTAAATATTAGATGTCTAAAAATGTCTACTTAATTTAAGTAGAATTTAATTCAAAAATTCTATGTTCTAAATTCTTAACATTTATATGAAAACGTATTTTAAAGCAATAATTATTTCAACAAAATGTTTCCTGCCAAATAATGTTTTTACTTCTATATTTTGACTATTTTGTGTACAATATTTAAGTCTTCCTTATGAATTATTTTTTATTATAATATTAGAATACAAATTTTATCTTGTATAATGTATTCTACATAAAATGTGACACTGTTTCCGAAAGTATTACAAATATCGATATGATATTTTTTGCAAATTAAATAGTACACAAAAGCTAATTATTTAGGATAAAAAAAATTATAAAGACAAGTCTCGGAAGATAGAAAAGATACCGCCTCATTTTTTTTAACTCGAATATTTTTTTTTTAATTTAATTTGAATCATTATTTATTATATTTATATATCATCAAACATAATAATATTTATTTGATACTTAATATTTTTTTTTAGAATTTCCAATGAAAAATACTCTACATAAGAGAAAAAAATTTAAATCGTCAAATATATATAACGTAAATTTTTTTTTCCATTCTTTTATATACAACTTTCTTCATTATGATTTTTTAATTAATCTGTGAAATATAAAAAAATATTTAAAAATATAAATAATAAATAAATATTATTAAGTCCAATAATAGATATATAAATAACAAATAATTAATATGCTATTTCATTTAAAAAGAATGAAAATGATATTTCTTCCATCTCTTAAAATTCATTCCTAATTCTTTTAACTCTAAATGTTTGAATCCTATATACTGTTTAATTTGCAAAAGAATTTCATGTTAATATTTACAGTTGTAATGTTTCGAAGAAAACAGTTTGTTATTTTTTATATGGAATATCCTATATATTATGATATATATATTTTGTAAATTTTGTTTATCGAATACTAAAATTTAAAAATTTGTTTCATAAATTATATTATTTCATTTTTTTTATTTTTGCTATTAACTTAAATGTATATAATAACTATTATAAAAACATTGAAAATCTAATTAGAAATCTTTTTATTCTTTTAGCTGAAATTTTCAATATTTTAGTTGAGAATACAATTATAAACGAAAAAATTCTGTATTGATGGAAAATGGGCAAAAATATTATCAATTACGCACAACAGTGAAAGTGTAGATCAGCATAATCCAATTTATTGTACATAATACATATACATAATTATTCATTTAAGATACATACGATAGTATGTATGCAGAAGCAAACTATGTACATTATAAACATTTGCTATATGGATAGGATACAGATAGTATTTTCTGCTGTCAATTCTTCAACTAAGACTGTGATTTTTAAATATACTAATGGCTAGGTAGATACAATACATATTGATTGATAAATATGATAAAATAAAAATAAAAGAAATATTCAAAACATGTGTATTTTTAACTTCTTTTATCTCGTACAATAATAAATCTGCGAATTGTTTTAATATTCACTTAAATAAAAAATTTAATGTCAATTTGTACTAAATTAAAATATAATTCAAGTTTCTAATTATATTTGAAAAATTAAAAATTATATATTATAAATATTTTTTTTCTGTTTGAAATTATGGAACAATTTTTCCCACTATAATTAAATAATAATAAAATATTTTAATAGATGGCATCATGGTAGCATTAATTTAACCGGTTTTCATATCATTTCAGTGTAAATAAAAAAAAATGTTGCTCGTTTTATTTATCACTATTTAAATTTTTTATTTATGATACCAATAAGTGTAAAAAAAAATTAAATGTGTAAAATTTATAAAATACAAAATGTTTATATATTTTTATATGGATTAAATTAAGAATTGAAAACAACTACTAGGTAAAAACATATTTATTAAAAATAATTTTATTAATTATCAAAATTGTTTTTATTTATTATTAATAAGATGTTATTTTGGCAAGTTATATTTTATATATAATATATTTTATATATTATATATATTTAACCTTTAATAAACTAAGTATTTTAATTATCTAACCTAAACTAAAATATTATTTTTATATATTTATATATTTATAATTTTTACTTATAAATTTATTCTTCTTTTAAGTTATATAAAATAATAACATTTGTAATTAATATTGCACAAAATGGAAGTTATTGAACTTGTTTCGGATGATGAAGCATTAGAAGATAACACAAAAAAAGAAAATAGAACTTCAAAAATTTGTAACACTAATTGTATAAATTTTCAATGTTCTTCTGGATTTGATATGAAATTAGCACCTTCTTTTGCATGTGCTTTTTATGGAGTAAACACAGAAAAAAAGAAAATGCGTATGATATGTAGACAATGTTTTAATGCTGCTTTAGAACATCAAAAGGTTTGAATTTTAAAATATTTATTTTAACAAATTATAAGTAAAAAATTAATTTTAATATTTGTATCAAAATATTAATTTTTATAGCAATTAGTCACAGCTTTTGTAGATCGTAAGCCATTGTTAAAATGTGAATTTCCGGATCATACAATGGAGGTAGAAATTTCTGATAGTGACGATTCAGATGATGATAAAAAGAAAGATACATATGATGAAGGTGAAATTAAAATTCTATTATAATGTGCATTGCATGTATTTTAAATTTTGTTGATAAATGTATATTTGTATTTTAGAAAAATATTTGCCGGAACATATGCTTGTGGATATAGAAGAAATGTTAGATAGCACATTGAATGATATTTTTAAAAAGTATGATGTTGATTATCAAATTAAGCAAGCACATAATATATTAAAGAATCAATGGAATAAAATAGATGGTAGATTATTATTTTGCAATATATTTTACATATATTTATTATATTTACATTAGATTATATAATTTTTTTTAAACAGAACAAAATGAAATTCTGGATAAAACAGTGAAAAATTTAATGCGTACCATGGATACTTTACGTAATACTTTATATGATGAATTTAGACCACAAATTCAAATGCTTCAAGAACTTCAAATAGATGATGGCTATTTGGATAATATTTCCTATCCATTAGTGGCAACAAAAAAAGTTACACAAGTGAAAGTTCCCCCTTCTTCAATATTACAAGATAATCAACCAGAAATTTTACCAATTGAACAAGATAATAGACAAGTTATAGTTTTAGATTTACCTCCAATTGGTCCAATTGTAAGAGCACAAATAGATGTAGATAGCATTGTATATATTATGAAACATCCACTTATGCCTTGGGTTAAAGGAAAGGTGTGTGAATTTTATTATTTGAATTTTGTTTAAAAATATAAATAGTTAATTTATTTAAAGTTTTATTCATCAATAGGTGCAAACAGTACATATAAAGACTCCTTTGCATTGTCGTGTAAAATTATTACAAAAGAAGTATAATTCTGTTATTAAAACTGTTTCTGGCAAGCAAATTGCAGCTACTGTAATTAGTCAAGTAATAATTCCAGTTGGTACACGAGTAGTTGCAATATTTAAAGATGTTTCTAGTAATTTTTATAGTGGAGTTATAGCTGAACCGCCAAAAGCTACAAATAAGTATAGGTATGTTTTATATATGAGATTTTATATATAAATAAATAATATGCAATATATTAAATAATGTATTATACAATATATGTCTATACAAGGCTAAACAAAAAAATTTTGTCTTCAATTGAATAGAAAATGAACAGAAAATATTTTTATGAAACAATGTAAAAAAAATCCTTTATTCTTTATTTTTAAAGTTATATATTTATTTTTTCATTATCTATTATAATATATTTCCAATGCTGCACTAGTTTTTGTAATTCGTTCATTAAAAAATCTTAAAATTATTTCTTCACAACAAATTTCACTTTTTCATATTTGCCTTTTCAAAATTTCAAAAATAGATGAAAATCATTAAATATTAAGTTTGGATTTATAGATATTGTTTCAAGAAAAAATATTGATTTTTTTTATAAACAGATTAAACTAACGCAAATAGCGAAAATATATTACAATAACTTTAAAAATAAAAAAATAAAAATTTTTTTTATATTGTTTCATAAAAATATATCTTTATTTTATTTAAGAAGATGAAACTTTCCTGCTTTCATGTCATTTTATACTACATGATATATATATATATATATATATATATATATATATACATATATATGTATATATATAATACATGATATATATATGTATATATATAATACATGATATATATATGTATATATATAATACATGATATATATATGTATATATATAATACATGATATATATATGTATATATATAATACATGATATATATATGTATATATATATATATAATAAATATAACAAAATAGCACATTTGTTATTTTTTTTTAGATATTTGATATTCTTTGATGATGGATATGCTCAATATGTTGTGCACAAAGATATTTATTTAGTCGCAGAAAGTTCTTCTAAAGTTTGGGAAGATGTACCTAATGAATCTCGTGATTTTGTAAAAAAATATATTGAAACATATCCTGAAAGACCAATGGTAAAACTGCAAACAGGACAAGTTGTAAAAACAGAATGGAATGGAAAATGGTGGATTGCAAGAGTTGTTCAAGTTGATGCAAGTTTAGTACAAATGCATTTTGATGCTGATGGAAGAACAGAATGGATCTATAGAGGGTCCGCTAGATTAGGTCCTTTATATATTGAACTTTTAAAAGCTAATGCTAGACAACAAGGACATCATGCATCTGTCAATTCTCCTAGTCGTCATCGATTGCCTGCTGTTTCTAATGTATGTGAAGTATTTATATTTTTATACAAAATAATTGATTAATAATAATAATAAAATTTATTGATATTTTAGAAAAATAATTTACCATATGTAGAATATACATCTAATATAGAATCTGAAGAAGAAAGACTTTCTCAATTAGAAAAAGAACAAAATACAGTAAACGAAATAACAAATACAATTACAAGTGCACCACAACAATCACGTGCTGTTGCTAGAAAAAGTACTAGTAAAAAACAAAATATTGTAGATACAAGTCCATATACTCCTACAACAGAAACAAAACCTTCTCATAGTATAGTTGTAAGTATATTGAATAAATGAATTATAATTTCTATAAGAAAATTTGAAATTTTAAGATTTAAAATTTATCATTTCATTTTTTTAGTATTATCAAACACAGAACAAAATTCAAACAAAAAAATTTGTTCCACATAAATGTGGTCCTCAGTGTGTTCAAGGAATATCTTTTACACCTGATGATTTAAAAGGTTATTCACCTCTTTCAATACCATTACTTTGTGGTTGGAATAGGCAACTTTGTAAATATCCAAAAGGCAAAAAAATTACCTTATATCAAGCACCATGTGGTATTAGATTACGAAACATGGAAGAATTACATCAATATCTTCGTAAAACAGGTAGTCCAATGTCAGTCGATTTATTTGATTTTGATTATTGGGTACATTGTTTAGCAGAATTTGTCTTGGATAAATGTTTTATTAATATAAAGGTAAATAAAATTTTATTAAATTTTTAATATTAAATTTAATTAATACTTCATATTTTATAATTCATTTGTCTTATTTTTAATTTTAAGGATCTTAGTTATGGTGTAGAAAATGTACCAATACCATGTGTGAATGAATTAGATCATACTCAACCAGATACAATTAGATATAGTACTCAAAGAGAACCAACAGAAGGAGTTAATCTTAATTTAGATCCAAATTTCTTGTGTAGCTGCGATTGTGAAGACGATTGCCAAGTATCTTTTTTTTTATGAAACAATTTAAAATTATAAAATCATTAATTAAATTATCTTTCAGGATAAAACAAAATGTCAATGTTGGCAATTAACGATACAAGGTGCTACTCTCGGAGGAAGAGTACCAAATACATCTGTTGGTTATGTATATAAACGTTTACCAGAGCCAGTTACTACTGGAATTTATGAATGCAATTCTGGATGTAAATGTGCTGTAAAAACTTGTTTGAATAGAGTAGTACAACACCCATTAACATTAAAATTACAAGTATTCAAAACAGCTCCTCGAGGTTGGGGTATACGATGTTTAAATGATATTCCTCTTGGATCTTTTATTTGTATATATGCTGGTAGATTACTTACTGAACAGGTAAAAAAAGAATTATAGTTAAATTAATTACATATAATACAAATTATATTATTAATTAAACTTTTTAATTAAACTTATTTCATATTATCAGGGAGCTAATGAAGGTGGTAAAAATTATGGTGATGAATATCTAGCAGAATTGGATTATGTGGAAGTAGTAGAAGGTATTAAAGAAGGCTATGAAAGTGATGTTTTAGAACCAGAAATGCCATTATCTACTCCAGAAGATAAAAAAAAATCTATGACGAGCGATGATGAGGATAATTCTAAAGCAAATGCAAATGATTCCGACGAAGATTTCAATATTAGTAAATATGTAAATTTTAATGTTGATTCTACAGAACCTTCCTCTATTAGGTAAATCAAAAGTAATTAATTTTTAATAAATGACACAATCTATATTAACATTAATGAATAATAATAGGAAAAGATTAAGAAAGCGAAAACGAGATGATATCAATCAAGATGGATCTGAAGAAAATAGCGAAGATGGAAGCGCTACCAAAATTTCCGAAAACATTATGAAAACTTCTATTAATGAAAATCGTTCAAATGATCAAGACGCAATTACTATAAGTGATGAAGAAGAAAATAGAAGTGGTAGACGTGAACCAAGTAGATTTGAGCCAACAGTTGAACCAACGCAAATTGAAAGACCTAAATTTAAATCAGTAAGAGATTTCTTTGGAGAAGATGAGGCTGTTTATATAATGGATGCTAAAACAACTGGAAATATCGGACGTTACTTAAATGTAAGATATATTGAAATTTTTAAAAAAATGTTTTTAAAAATACTATTTTTATATTTACTATTAATTTAAAATATAATTATTGGTAATTTTTTAGCATTCATGCGATCCAAATGTTTTTGTGCAGAATGTATTTGTTGATACACATGATGTAAGATTTCCATGGGTAGCATTTTTTGCTTTAAATTATATAAGAGCAGGTCAAGAATTAACATGGAATTATAGTTATGACGTTGGAAGTATACCGGGTAAAGTTATCATTTGCAAGTGTGGTGCATCTAATTGTAGAGGTCGACTTTTATAATGTATAAATATTTTATATAAAATTAATAAAATTTGATTATGTAATAAATGACTTTGTTTTCTTTTTTTTTAATATTTAATTTGCAATTTTAAATTACGTAATATATATAATATATATTTTATTTATTCTCAAAAAAACATTATTTTATTATACATAACATTTATAAACATATTATAAACATTATACGTTTAATGATTGTTTATTTTATTATTTATTAATAATATTATAAAATAAAATAAGTCTAAAAAAATCTATAGAAAGAAAATATATTACATTGTATTTCAATTTTTTAATATTTATTATTTAAGTTTAATAATTATGATATATTTTATATTGTTAATCAAAATTATAAGTTCATTGCATTTATGATTCATTTATTATTGTAGAATTTTATTCTTTTTTTTTTGTAGAATTATATATAAAATATATTATTATATTATATAAAATATACGAAAAATAAAAATATTGAATGAAATTTTTACAATATTTGCATAAATGATGAATTACTAATTCTTACTAATTCTTTTTAGAATGGACAAATTGTATTTGTATTCAATTATATAAAATAACATAAATTCAATTATAAAAAAAACATTTATTTATAAAATTTACAACATAAATTGTTTTTAATAATTTATAACTGATGCATAAAGATAAATTAGTTGAAAAATTTTTATACTATTTTATAAATAAATTAAATTTTTATAAATTTTGCTATTATAATCTTGATCTATTTTTTTCATGTATTAATAATTGTTATTTAATTGTAATTATATATATATAATTATTTAAATGTAATTCTTCAAATATTATTCATTATTTTCGTATATATATTTAATAGATTTCTTTAATATATATAATAGTTATTTTTTGATAGGATTATTTAAAGAATGGGAATTTGAAAAATCATTAAGTGATCTTTAAATTATTAAATAGTTAACTGATAAATAAAAATTATTTTTTTGAAATTTAAATATTCTATTATATTTTTTGACATATGAAAACATATTTATTTTTTAAGATTTTTTAATATTCAATATTAATTATTTTATTAATTATTAATTATTATATTTTAATAAAAAAATTTCCTAATATATATATATAATATATAAATACTAAAAATATAATATATAAATACTAAAAGTTGTTCATATCATTACAGTATTTCCACCAAATTTATATATTGAAAAATCTTTATACTTTTTTAATATTTAATAATAAATAAGGAAATAATGTTAATATGTACATATTTTAAAGTTTTTTTTTTTTTAATTTTCGATATTATATCGAATAACACGAATATTTATACATTGTAAAAAAAATTAATAATTCACAGTGTATGCAAAATTTTTTTGCAATTTAAAATTATGTTAAATCCTTCTTAAAATGATTAAACTTTTATCCAAAGCTTTATTAATATTATTAATAATTTTGAAAATATTTCAGTTTCCAATCTTAGATAATTCACTTCTAAATATATATAAGAAATTTTAGTAAAGATATGCATATTTTATAATTATAAAAAATAGTCTACATTTTTAATAACTGAAATTTGATATATATAACTTTTATAAAAAGATTTATACATAATGTTAATACAAAAAATAGTAAATAATAAATAAATGATAAATATGGGTTTAATGAAATACAACAATATACATAACAATGATGCATTGGCTTATTATTTTTGATTATTATACACTTTTAAAACTTCTTAAGACATGTAATTAATATCATAAAGATAGCTCTTTAATTTTTTTTTTTTATAATTTATACATGTCTTTCTTGAAACACAATTAAATTATATAATATATTTTTCATCTCGAGCATTCATTTCAATACATACAACTTTTTCTCACAAAAAGTTGTTTTAATAAGTAGTTGTAAAAAAATGTATAAAAAAAATTTGATTTGTAAATTAATAACAAATATTTAAAACACGATGCTGCTTCTTACAAATGTATCAAAATATTTTTTGCTATATAATGTTACATGCTTTAAAAATAAATTTGTTTCTATTGTTAGTTTATAAAACAATCTGTATAATATACTATTTTAAAGCTGAAACTATATATACTTTAAATCTCTAAGAGTAATCATATAAGAATATGTTTATGATTATACGCTCCAAGTGCAATATATTATTATAAAACTACATTTGTGTACCTATATTTTTTGTTTTTAATTTAAAGTGCATAAATATGATAGTCTAGTCATATGCAAAAAATTAAGAGAAAGCAATAGTGATACTCCTATGAGGAACATTAAAATACTAAAATAACAAAATTATTGCTTTACGATTTGTTTGGCTTTGTGCTAGTGAAATTTAAGCAATTGTTTGATCTCATCTTTTTCAGCAGCATCCAAATAACTAGTTCCATCTGGTGTTAATCCATCTGGTTTAGCTCCCTTTTCTAATAGTAATTTTACACAATTTGTATGTCCTTCCCAAATTGCTGCCAATAATGTTGTTATTCCATGCTTGTCTGTAGCCTGTAAGAATATTTTATTTAAGTCACTATATAAATTTTCTACATATTTTCTACATATTTTTTATATTTAAAGCAAATTTAAAAAATTTATTAAAAAAAAATTTTTTTAATAATATATTTTCACTTTTATATATTCATTTAATATTAATAACATTTACATTTGCATTTGCACCCTTTTCCAAAAGATATCTGACTACTTCACTTTGACCATAATCAGCTGCATAATGTAGGGGTGTCCTTCCATCAATCATTTGATTAACATCAATATTCTATCAACAGAAATATATTTAAAGGAATTAATATATATTCACTTTTAAAAGAAAGAATATATTGAATTTAAAAAAGAAATATAAATGATTTTTACAATCATTAGTTTAATCGGCTAATAAGAATCTTTTCCTGTGTTTTAAATTATAAAAAAATCGGAGAATATAATATTAAACTCCAAGAAAGATATCTTTATGACGTTTCTGATTAGCGGTAATCAAAAAGCAACAGAAGAAAAAGATGATTTAACATTTCATATATTTGCCTTGTTTTCAACGATATCTCGCACTTGCTCCAAATCACCATTTTTTATTCCCCACACAAGTTCACTCATTTTCGTTGTAAGCTATTAGACAAATTTTTAATGTAACACAGCCTTTCAAATTTCTACGTTTGTTCTATTCAATTCACGTTCGTACTCACGTCCATTAAATTTGGTTAAACAGCGAATTTTGCTGGAATAATTTTTCCAGGTTGCCAACATATATAACAGTAAAATGAAAACTTTATGTATTCGTTTATAATACCAACATCAAAAATAATATAATAAGATAAATATTTTGCAATATTTTTTTCAACAAAATATCATTGCTAGATAAATTATTATTATATATATTAAAAATAAGAAATTAGTATATTATAATTTTAGATTTGCATATATTAAATTTTTTTTTTAACTATAATAATGAAATTATTACTATTAATAAGATAATATAATAAAGTTTTATCACAAAATATAATATGTAATTCTAGATCTCTTTGTATAACAACATTATATAATATTGTGTAATAAATTATAATGTAATTATAATTTTTAATTATAAATATTTCTTTTTAAAATTTGAATTATATATATTGATATATTTTAATTATATATTAATTAATATATATATAATAATATATAATAATATATAATAATGATGTATTAATTAATTAATATATTATAATTGAAATATATATATATAAAATTAACTTGAATATGATTCGTTATTTTTGAATATAACTTTAATAATAATGAAATAATTATTTCCAAAAAATTTAGCAAAACAATTTTTTTTTCTAAAATAAATGTAAAAAAAAAATTATTGATTTATCAAAGATATTACCATATAATATATTTATTATATGAATATAGGATAAAAATACACGTTATATATTTTTTTTAATTAAATAGATATTAATTTAATTACATATAATTACAGTCACACATGTCTTTACATTATATATGTAGAATTTTCTACTTTCTGAGAAAGAGAGAAAAAAACAAAATTAGTTTACTACGCGAGAATTACTGTTTAAAATAGAATTACATACAAAAGCATCTAGTAAGTCTCGGTTTCCGGGACTAGGAAATTGAAAAAATTCGATATTTTAGAACGGATACCGAATTACTGATGATTTTACTAGTATGCATATAGTTATTTATATAATGTAAGTTTGCAATTTTATATTTGTATCATCGTATAAATATAAGAATTTTATATATTTCAGTAAAACATATAATGAATGAAACAACATTTTTCGTTAGAAGTAATTTTTTTTTTACTTTCAAAAATGTACTTTTTTTAACGAATATATATATATTTTTAATTAAATTTATTATTTCAGATTATAATTAATAAATTTTTAATTTTTGTTTCAATTTAATCGATTGTTCAATTTAATTTGTAAAGATTATGATTTGTTTTTTTAGAATTTAAGCTTTTGTCGGAACTTCTTCTGAAGTTCTCTCGGTCTCTACAATTTCCGTGGGAGGTGGTAAAGTTGGAATTTCTGGATATTCAAGTTTTGCTCCTTCTTCGCATTCGAAAATGGGACAGCAATTAGGGAATGCAGCGGTCTTATTAGTTTTATCTGAGAGTTTGCATTTCGGATTGGCTTTTGGAAGTGGTCCACAGTCTTCGACAAGTTCGAAAAGTCGACCAGAGTTGTCATCAGCAGGTACGCAAGTAGAACGGCCACAAAATGGTGTCAATTCCCAAGATTTTGTTGGTTCAATAGTGGCACATCTTGTCGAGGCAAAGCACATACCAGGAAAATCTATAAATATAAAATTAAATAAAATTATATAAATTTATACATATTTACTTATACATATTTACACATATACTTATTATTAGAATGCAAATATTTGTGTATGATAAATATGAAAAAAACATATATTATAATATTATATTTGAAAAATTATTATAAAATTATTATATATGAAAATGTGCAAATATAAATTAAATATATAAATATATCAAAAAAATTTTAATGGATGATATAAAATAAAACACAACAGTATATTAATATGTAATATTAAATAACAATAATTATTGAAAATACTAATTATTAAGAATAATATGAAATGTGAATAATTAACAATATATTTAAAATTGTTTTACAAACAAATTTTTTTTTATGCAAATACAAATGCGTTTTACGATTATTATAGTTTGTAATATAAATTACAATAAAATATAAATATTTTCTTTAAATTAGATTGATAATATTTATCGATAAAAATTAATTTATGCACAAAAATTTTTATATTATAAGATTTTATCATTATATATTTAATTATTAATTTTTTTTCATATTTTATTTTTTCATATTTTTATTAAATTTTACAAGTACTTTATTCATTAATTTGGTGAATAATGAAATTAGAATTGTCTTGGAAACAACTCTCCAATGTTCTATTTTTTGGAATTCTATATATTTTAGATATTAAAAAAGAATTTTCAAAAACAATTCAAAATTCGTCTTATTGCTGTAACAAATAACACACAAATAAATTGTTTAAGATACAAATTGCATCTAAATTAACAACTTGAAAAACAAAAGCATGATTTAATATAGCTTATAATCAGCATTGATTATATATTATTATCAATATAATAAATAATGATAAAAGAATTTATCGATAAATGAAATTAATTTGATGAAATTAAATAGGTATTTTATATAACACGCATGACATTAATACAGAAAATATATATATTTTTGAATATGTTTTTAAACATAAATATGTAAAATATATATATTATATTAAAAATATAAAATATTATTTTTCTTTATCTTTATTTATGTTCTTATATAAAAATATGAATTTATATAAATATATTTTTTTTATTGCATTATAAAATCTAATTTTTAATAACAGGAAATTAAAGTTTCGAATTTTCTAAGTTTCTCTTAGAAAAATATTCTTACAAAATATTGCATGATATTAGATTATTTTAATTAATTCTAAATAAGACACATTAATTTATGATAATTTATACTATTACTAAATTTTTATTATGACATAAATAAATAAAATTAATTAAATAGCATAACATATTGAGTAGTTAACAAATTAATAATTATAATTAATTATAATTAACAATGTAATTATAATTAATAATAATTAAATTATAATTAATAATGTTTTATAATAATATTTTACAAATTAATTTTCAAATTACATAAAATATATTATATAAAGATGATATAGAATTAATATATTACATTCACTGGAAAATATTATGTTTGGTTATATAACAGAACAATTTATGCAATAAAATCTTGTAGTTATTCCTTCTAGAGAAAAAAGTCCATAATTCGATCATTAGAAATATTCATATAGCAAAATTTTCTAACCGGAAATCTCTATTCGAAAAATTTTGCAAATTAGATTTCTTAAAGAACAAAAAATCGAAACAATTAATCTTCTTAATTATTAATGTTTTTATAATTTTTCGTAAAAAGAAAATTTGTAAAAATATCTCATCCAATATATTTATTAAAAAAAAAAGAAAGTAATATAAATACACATATTATATATATTATATTTACATATAATTTTTTTAAAAACTTATAAAATACTTTATATTCTAAATGAATCATGAACTGATTTTCACTAATTATGATGTAAAAGTAAAATCTCATTGTATATAAGCAATCACTTGTACAAATTGCAATTCTCTGACAAAACGCGTCATTGTTGTGCATAATAGCATGGCCGGCTATTATTTGATTACTTGCACACCTGTGAAAAGTGTCGTTACTTTCTAATGTATAATCATTTTCAATGCATCTCGTTGCACCTTCTTATACAGATAAACTTAAGTATAATATTTCGTTATAATATGTCTCTATGGATTGTAAATAGATGATAGGATTGACGATAATCAGATTAGAAACTTCAAGGGGAAAACACTTTCATGTTATCACTTCTTTAATTATTTGAAATTCTGTAATTAAATAAATTAATTGTTATACTTTACTATTTGTTTTTCTTTATGTAAGTATTTTTTAAAAACCTAAAATAATTGAAAAATAATTTTTTATTTGTTATTTATTTCTTTTTTATTACTATTTCTATTACTGAAAATATTTAAAAATAATATTTATTACTTAAAATAATAAAAATTATTTAAATATCTTTCATTAGAAAACAAAGCATAAATTATGAGCATAATTTTGAAATTAACATGTGATATAATATTTATGTACACCAGATATGTTAAAAGGATGTAGTAACACAAATAAGAAAAATTAAGAAAATTTTTCATAAATAATTTAAAATTATAATTTTTAATTTATTTTAATATCATAATATTAAATATTAATAAATTTTTAATATTAATTTTAATTTATTTTAAATTAAATTATTTATAATTATTATATCATATATATATACTCTAAATTTTTAATATATTATATAATTTAAATTTCTATTAAATTTATAAAAAGAAGTGACGTAACAAAAAAAAAACAAAAGATAACAAGTGAAATGAAAAGAAATAGGAAATATTATGTATACATAAATTGTCATCATTATCTTCTTCGAATAAGATTTATTCGAATAATAATGTGTTTATTATTGTTTTCCAAATTTGCCAATTTCATTATGTTGAAGGTTTAACACAATGGACATTCACGATAATGTTAAAAGTATCATAATGTAAATATCGTACATAATATCAGTTTTTAGAATAGTTTTACAAAAAAATGGTACACGAAATGATTGAATGCCTAATATTTGAAATTGTTAAAATGTTCTTTTAATATCGCTAGTAGAAGAAATATAAGCATTAAAAAATTTTCTTTTAAGAGTCATATTTTTTTTTTATTCCAAATAATTATTCCATTTAAGGAATTAAAGTACTACATAATAATGATTATAATAAAATTATAATAAAATTCATAATTACCAATTAATCTATCAGAATCTATAATATTTTCTTATTTTCCTAAAATAATATATTATGCAATAATAAAATAATTATTTTAAGATCAAAATAAATAATTTTATTCTTAATGATTAATTAATAGATAATAGAATCGTTAATAAAGTATAAAGTCTTTGATACATGTTGCAAATCGAATAATCGTTGCGGAAGTAAAGTAGTACATAGGTAAGCAGTTTCACTTTCCTTTCTACATCGAAGCATATGGAATAT